TAGACTATAATTTTTTAAATTTATATGTAAATTAATTCACCTCTATTTATATCATACATAAACAAGCCCTTTCTCCATTTAAAAAATAATATCATCAAATAATAAAGTCAAACTTTGGTCAAAGTCTGTCAATATGATTCAAACCTTGTCAACTATAGTTAACACCAGCTTGGACATGGCAGGCTGGCAGTAGCAAAGAGCCAAAGAGGGTGCAAAAACCTATTTCAAGGATTAGGATCTTTCTCTGCCCAAAATACTTTGTTTCAACCAAGAGGGTTCAAAACCCGGACTCCTATGCTTCAAAACTTTCAACTAAACTGCCCCACTGCCTCAAATCCATCACTTTACCATGATTTTCCAAATTTCATAGCATTGGTACACTTGCATCTCTAAACTATTAAGCTACAAACATAACTTGGAAGGCTAACCCAACAAAGAAAAAGGGAATTAACACATTAGCTAATAATTATTACTCTGTGTTGTATATTAAGGCAATAGAATTATAAGAAACAATAAATTATTCTTGATTTTAAGAATTAATATGTTTAAAGGATCATTTTATCCGTTTAAAAATTTTCTCTTATCCCTAATATTTTTGTGTTTATGGGTTAAGGGAGATGATAAAATTAAAAAAGAAGTAACTAATGAATCATTGATTTCTTAAAATGTCAATCACTTTGAACAAAAATTTTCTTCTACAACGCCTAACAATATGAAACAGAGGGAGTAATGCGTTAACCAAAAATGAGTTAGAGACTTCAACCATCTCTCAAATGCCATCACTCTATCTAAGCTCCAGACTTCTAATATTTTATACCTCTAGAGGAAATCTTTTACTCCTAATTCAGCTCATCAAGCTATGCCAACCGGCCACCAAAATTCTCAATCACTCCATATACGAAATTGATCCAGCACTCTGCCAAGTCTGGGTCTCTCGTTCAGGGAAAGCTCGCCCATTCATGGCTTCCATATGATCCAAACAGGTTTCAAACCAACCGCACCTCTTTTTGGTCAACAATCTATTCAAATTTCAACAACTATTGCTTTTTGGTCAACAATCTATTCAAATTTCAACAACTATTGCACGGGCGGTGAAATTGGTCTTGCTCACCAACTGTTTGATAACATAAAGAAATCATGTGGAAAGAATAAGGTTTTGTTTTAGAGTATTTCTCAGTATTTTAGTTTTTAATTTTTAAGTTTTTTAATTATTTTTAAAATATATAAAATTATTAAAATATATATTAAATATATTTTATATCTTTTTTAAATATTAAAAGATAAAAAAGACTTTCAATTGCAATTACAACCCACTACTATCAATTAAAACTTTATTTGACAATACTTATTGGTATTTTAATTTTTAATTTTTATATCTTTTTATTATTTTAAAATAATAAAAAATATTAATTAAAATAAATATTAAATATATTTTATAT